CAACCCTGAAAAGGGAAACGGAAGTATCGCCAAGACAGAAGGCCCTGAAAGCACCGTAGATTGAAAAGCGGAAAGGCTGGAGACGGCGGTTGTTAAAAAGCGCCAGCCCGACAAACCGGAGATGAGCGTAATCTTAGGTGGGGGGGGGGGGGGGCTCTCGAGGTCGGCGTGGGTGGGTGGGGTGGGTGCGCCGTGGGTGCGCTGTTTGTGTACATCTGAACAAGTGCTCCAAGGGGGACTAATTTCTTTTTCGCACGAGGGCGCGTGTAAAATTCTTTTTCGCAAGACCGTACAATCACGACCGTGTGCGTGTCTTCGAGCGACGCAGTTTGCCAACCATGTCTGGCCCTCGAGCGTCTGCTTGGTTCTTGCGGATGCAGGCGGCCATGATTGAGGACCGCCAGTCGAAGACGCTGCTGGCTGACGAGACTGTGCAGTGGCTGCGGGCGCATCGGCAGCGGCAGTGGCAGAAGGTGGCGGCAGACTTCAACAAGCGTCTGGACGAAGCGAATGAGCGCGCGGACGCATCAATCGCAGCGTGGCTCGCGGCTCACAAGGAGCGCGTCGCGCTTGGGCCTTGGCATGACGACCGACGGTGGGACCACGACCGACCACTGCGACACCGAAGGCATGACCGAGGAGGTCGCGGACGAGAACGCGCCGCTGGTGAATGAACGGCCAGGGATACGTTTGGGCCGAGGGCTACGGCGGCCGCCCCGGCTGGGTTCTCTGCGTAGATTAGGGCCAGGATTAGGGCCAGGAACCAGCAGGACTTGCGTCCGGCGTGCGAGGCCCGGCTCTTGCGCACCGAAGCGAGCGGAGCGAGCCGAAGAGAAAATTTGAGGATAAGGTCGTACTTGCATGTATGTACGTCCCTGTTTTGACAGTACACACACTACGTACGTAGTGTCGAAGTACGTCCGTGGTTGAGCTGAGGCGCACGTACGCGAGGGTCGCTAGCGTGTCGTCAGCAAGGGCGTGTGGGCTGGGGGCATTTCCGCCCACGTGGGGGCATTTCCAAGTACGGCACACTGGCAGGGGCGGTGGGAGATTTCCATTTTTCTCTTTGCGACATCTCGCGTTCACGAGATCGGTGCTTTCCTGGCAACCGGGGGGAACAACTTGCTACCACGCCAGGAAAACGCTTTGTCTACACGCCACAGGTTGTCCTCCAGCTTGTGCCCGCCCGCGGCGCGGCGAGCCTCTCTGCTCCAGACACGGACTCGCCCTGGCTGCGCGCCGCCCTTTT